TGCGGTGAGCCGAGATCGTGCCATTGCACTCCAGCCTGGGTAACAAGAGCGAAACTCTGTCTCAAAAATAAAAATAAAAAATAAATAAATAAATAAATAAATAAATGGAATCCTAAAATATGTGGTCTTTTATTACTTTGCCTCTTTCACTTAAATGTTATAGCATGTATTCGTACTTCATACCTTTTTATGGCTAATATTCCATTGTATGAATTTGTATTTGCTTATCTGCTCATCATTTCCATTTTTTTGACTACTATGAATAATGTTACTATATACATTTTTACACAAGTTGTATGGACACGTGTTTTCACTTCTTTTCAGTCAATAACTAGGAAAGATATTTCATGGTCATATGGTAACTCTGCTTAACTTTTTAAAGAATTGCCAAATTGCTTTCCAAAATAGCTGTATTATTTCACCTTCCTACTGGATAGGTGTGAGGGCTTCCAGTTTTCTCTTGCTTCCAGTCAGGTTTTCATCCCATACACTCATCAAGGTTACCAATGAACTCCTTATGGCTAAATCAACTTTTAGTCTTCTTCCTGCTTCAGCTATTAGCAGCACTTGATTCAGTTCATCTCTCAATCTTCCTTGAAACATTTCTTCATTAGGATTCTAGGAAATCAGAGCCTCCAATTTTTCTATTTTTCTTCTAACCAGCTGAGCATGCCAGCTCTTTCTCCTTCCCCATCTTCTAATCACTGGCATATGCCAAATTCAATCCACTGACCTTTTCTCTTCTCTCTACTACATTCCTTCTCTTAATGATCTCACCCAATCTAACTACTGCTTATGTACGTTGTCTGTAAATATATATTTACAGACTTGTACTGTCTAGCACAGTAGCCAGTAGCAACATGTGGATATATAAATTTGAATTACATAAAAATAAAAATTCAAGGCCGGGCGCGGTGGCTCAAGTCTGTAATCCCAGTACTTTGGAAGGCCAATGCGGGTGGATCACGAGGTCAAGAGATCGAGACCATCCTGGTTAACATGGTGAAACCCTGTCTCTACTAAAAATACAAAAAATTAGCTGGGCATGGTGGCGCGTGCCTGTAATCCCAGCTACTCAGGAGGCTGAGGCAGGAGAATTGCCTGAACCCAGGAGGCGGACGTTGTGGTGAGCCGAGATCGCGCCATTGCACTCCAGCCTGGGTAACAAGAGCGAAACTCTGTCTCAAAAAAAAAAATTAATTAATTAAAAAAATAAAAATTCAGTTCCTTGGTCACATTATATACACACACATACATATGTATATATATGCATGTATGTATGTGTGCGCGTGCGTGTGTGTGTGTGCATATATATACACACACATATACACATATGCGGGCGGGGAGGGGCGGAGTCTTGCTCTGTTGCCCAGGGTAGAGTGCAGTGCTGTGATGTCAGCTCACTGCAGCCTCTGAATTCCAGGCTCAAGCAACCCTCCCACTTCAGCCTCCCAAGGAGCTGGGACAGGTGCATATCACCATGCATGGCTAAATTTTTTTTTTTTTTTTTTTGAGATGGAGTTTCGCTCGTTACCCAGGCTGGAGTGCAATGGCGCGATCTCGGCTCACCGCAACTTCCGCCTCCTGGGTTCAGGCAATTCTCCTGCCTCAGCCTCCTGAGTAGCTGGGATTACAGGCACGTGCCACCATGACCAGCTAATTTTTTGTATTTTTAGTAGAGACGGGGTTTCACCATGTTGACCAGGATGGTCTCGATCTCTTGACCTCATGATCCACCCGCCTCGGCCTCCCAAAGTGCTGGGATTACAGGCTTGAGCCACCGCGTCCGGCTAAATTTTTTATTTTTAGGTGGAGATGAGGTCTCACCAAGTTGCCCAGGCTGGCCTCAAATTCCTGGGCTCAAGACAGGAGCTACATTTTAAGAGTTTGAGGGCCACATGTGGCTAGTGGCTACTAAACAGGACAGCAAGATATAAAACATTTCTATCAATCCAGAAATTTTAATTGTACAATGCTGATCTAGATCTCTCCTCTAAATTCAAGATATATATATATATATATATATAGTGTGTGTGTGTGTGTGTGTGTGTATGTATATACATACACATATATAGACATGTCATATATATACACACATATATATGATTGCTTTCCTGATCTCTACATTTTGATGTCAATAAACAACTAAAAACAAAAATCCTGCTATTTCTCCCTAAAAACCTTGCTCCTTCCACTTTTTCCTATTTTAGTTTATCTATCTCCATCTTTCTACTAGTTCAAACCAAAAACCACAGGATAACCCTTTATTCCACTTTCACTCTACATCCAACTGATGAGCAAACTCTTGTCAATTCTGTATCCAGAATCTGACTACTTCTTACAAACTTCACTTATTTTACCTTGTTTAAAGCCATCATCTTTTGCTAGTTGTAATAACTTCCTAAAAGGTCTTCCTGCTTGTCCTTACCCCTCTCTGAGGTCTATTTTCAATATAACTGCTAGAGAATTCTTACTAAATCCAAAGTTACATCATGTCATCCTCTGTTCAAAATCCTCTAACAGCTGCCCAGCTTACTCACAGCAAAAATCAAAATTGCTGTTACATCCTTAGATCCCCATGTGATCTGACTCCAATAACTCTGATCTTATCTTCTACAACTCCCCTTTGTATACTCTCTGGCAGTCATACTGGCTATTCCTCAAAATCACCAAGTATATTTCAGCCTTCCCCATAAAACAGGAATCACTAACTTTATGAATCACTTATCCAGCAGAGTCCCATGGGGAAAAAAAAATAAAAATTTAAAATAATAATAATAATAAAAAGAATCACTAAGCTAGCTTAAAAGAGGGATTTTCTTTTTAAGCCAGTTTGCAGACATCTAGGTATTCAGAGTAATCTTCCCTTACCTATGAGGTCCCTAGCCAGTAAATGGGTATTACATGATATAAATTATATTTTCTGAGAAGGATCTTTCTCCTTGGTGAAGTGGCTCATGCCTGTATTCCCAGCACTTTGGGAGGTCAAGGTAGGATGATTGCTTGAGCCCAGGAGTTCAAGACCAGCCTAGGCAACACAGTGAAACCCTATCTCTATTTAAAAAAAAAAAAAAAAATCAGCTGAGCATGGTAGCATGTGCCTGTAGTCCCAGATATTCGGGATGCTGAAGTGGGATGATCACCTGAGCCTAGGGAGGTTGAGGTTGCAGCAAGTCATGATCATGGCACTGCATTCCAGCCTAGGCAACAGAGTAAGACCTTTGTCTCAAAAAAAAAAAGACAGAAAAAGAAAAAAAGTCTTCTAAAGTTTGTGGTCTCAGTTGTATCACTAAGCCTAGATCTCACAAAAAATCAGTTAACTAGTTGTCTGGAAGGGTAAAGACAAGAATTTTTTTTTTTTTTTTGGAGACAGAGTTTCGCTTTTGTTACTCAGGCTGGAGTGCAATGGTGCGATCTCGGCTTACCACAACCTCCGCCTCCTGGGTTCAGGCAATTCTCCTGCCTCAGCCTTTTGAGTAGCTGGGATTACAGGCACGTGCCACCATGCCCAGCTAATTTTTTGTATTTTTAGTAGAGACGGGGTTTCACCATGTTGACCAGGATGGTCTCGATCTCTTGACCTCGTGATCCACCCGCCTCGGCCTCCCAAAGTGCTGGGATTACAGGCGTGAGCCACCGCGCTTGGCAAGAATTTTTAAAAATAAAATTTCTTTTTGTTTTTGAGGCAGGGTCTCACTCCATCACCCAGGCTGGAGTGCATTGGTGTGATCTCAGCTCACTGCAACCTCCACCTCTTGGGCTCAAGTGATTCCCCCATCTCAGACTCCCAAGTACAGCTAGTGCTTGACTGACGACCACGATTGGTTCCAACAGACCGGTCGTAACATGATTTGGTCGTAAGTTGAGTTTGCTGTACAGAGTCTGGGATAAAGTTGAAATGGTGCACGCGGAGATGGTAGTGCTGCCGGAAGCTGGTCTGCACTGTCGTATGCCCAGCTGGGCAACATTTGCGCTGCCAGATGCGGAGCAGTCGTGGCTAGCAGTTGTGGTTGTAAAGTCGAATGGTCGTAAGTTGCATAGGTCGTAAGTTGACCAATACCTGTAGTTGGGACTACAGGTGCACAGCACCATGGCTGGCTCATTTTTGTATTTTTAGTAGAGATGAGGTTTCATCATGTTGTCCAGGCTGGTCTCAAACTCTTGACCTCAAGTGATCTGCCCACCTCGGCCTCTCAAAGTGCTGAGATTACAGGTGTGTGCCACCACGCCTGGCCTAAACACAAATTTAATTACTGAAAAACCTGTAAGAATATGAATTAAGATTTCCTATTTAGTAATAGTATAAATATATGAATTCTTAATTTGCCGGATTAGATTATAAAAGACCACAATGTGATGTACATGCCTGCTCTCTAAACAAGTTCAATCAATGTAGTCAGTCTACAAACTGTATTAGTGGTCTGTTTTGAAATAAGAACCTTGGACAAGAATGCAATTCAATACATTACTTCCTTCAAGCAGAAAATTTCCCTATAAAAAATTACAGAAGATATAAACAGTATGCTTATTAATGTAAATATTTTCCATCCTAGGACAAGATTCTATCTCACTGCAGACCGATAACTAACATTTTGTAGAATGGCATATGTCCATGAATCACACTTTGAGCAGCACTGCTCTAAATCACCTCCTTTGTCTTTAATTCAAGTCTACCCAATATTTTAAAACACTTTGTATATGCAAAGTCAGCCATTCTGTGCCATCTCCCATTCTACAATTTACTGGGATTAAGATGTATCTTGTTTTCTAGATGTTACCTAGATTCCTTGTGTGTATTACAGAATTTTAATGCAGACCAGAAAGAAGACTATACCATCTAAGAACAGTAACATACTGATAAAAATTTTTAATTAGCAGATTCTAAACTATAATTTTAACATAGATTGTATAATAGCACTTCAGAAAAGTGAGACTGGGTAATAAACTAGCTTTGAAAACGTTTGTATGAAGAGATATAAAATCCACTTTTCAACACCAACCTAAATATTCCATCAGCTGCTCAGCAGTTATGATTTCCATCATTGGTGGAAGTTTCACCTGAAAAACAAAACAATTCTATAAAATTAAATGTTTTAGGTGACTAAAGTGTTTCTTACAGTCAGAAACACAAATACTTATGTCTATATATGTATCTACTATACATATACATTAACATTCACATATACTAGAATCTTTATAACCAGCCTTTTTAAAACTATAGAAAATCAGTCTGATCACCATAAAATTCAAGAGTGACTGACCTAAGGCCTTAAAGAAATATCTGTTTTCAAACCCAAGTGCTATACCTTTCACCACCCACCATAATTGTTATCAGGCACCAGCAACAGTGTCCTATGAGGTAGCAAATGTAGTTAAATGGCAGGAAGAGGTGCCAAACGTGTGATGTTACCGATGGAGCAGTTTTACTGAACACAGCCTTCAATACAGTTCAGTATCACATCACTACCATCTACCTGGCCATTTTTATTACCATTATTGTATTTTTATTATCGTGTGTAGTATTAGTGACAAACTGAAGAATTTATTCTGTTATTCTATTTATTAGATTGGTGCAAAAATAATTGCAGTTTTTGCTATTTAAAAGTAATGCAGGCCGGGTGTGGGTGTGGGTGCTTACGCCTGTAATCCCAGCACTTTGGGAGGCCGAGGCGAGTAGATAATCTGAGGTCAAGAGTTAGAGATCAACCTGACCAACATGGAGAAACCCTATCTCTACTAAAGATGCAAAAATTGGCTGGGTGTGGTGCCACATGCCTGTAATGCCAGCTACTCAGGAGGTGAGGCAGGAGAATGGCTTGAATCCAGGAGGTGGAGGTTGGGATGAACCACAATCGTGCCACTGCACTCCAGCCTGGGCAACAAGAGCAAGATTCCATCCAAAAAAAAAAAAGGTAATGCAAAGCTTAAAAACAAGCAAAATTAAACTATATTGTTTAGAGCAGCACATATAGGAGATAAAACAATTAAGAAGTAAGAAGTACATATAGGAGATAAAACAATTAAGAAGTAAGAAATGGGCTTGGCGGTCGGGCGCGGTGGCTCAAGCCTGTAATCCCAGCACTTTGGGAGGCCGAGGCGGGTGGATCATGAGGTCAAGAGATCAAGACCATCCTGGTGAACATGGTGAAACCCCGTCTCTACTAAAAATCAAAAAATTAGCTGGGCATAGTGGCGCATGCCAGTAATCCAAGCTACTCAGGAGGCTGAGGCAGAAGAATTGCCTGAACCCAGGAGGCGCAGGTTGCAGTGAGCCGAGATCGCGCCATTGCACTCCAGCCTGGGTAACAAGAGCGAAACTCCGTCTCAATAAAAAAAAAAAAAAAAAAAAAATAGAAAGAAATGGGCTTGGCACAGTGGAAGGCCAAGGTGGGTGGATCACTTGAGGTCAGGAGTTCGAGACCAGCCTGGCCAACATGGTGAAACCTCTGGCCTGGGCAACAGAGTAAAAAAAAGATAAATAAGAAAAGAAAAAGGAAAGAAATGGGCTGGACATGCTGGCTCATGCCTATAATCCCAGGACTCTGGGAGGTCAAAGCAGGCGGATCACTTGAGGTCAGGAATTCAAGACCAGCCTGGCTAACATGGTAAAACCCTATCGCTACTACAACTACAAAAATTAGCTGGGCATGATGGTGCATGCTTATAATCCCAGCTACCTGGAAGTATGAGGCAGGATAATTGCTTGAAGGTTGCAGTGAGCCAGGATTGTACCATAGTACTCCAGCCTGGGCGACAAGAGCAAAACTCCATCTCAAAAATAAAAAAAAAAGTCTTTTAAGGGGATTTTTTGAGGTACTGAAAACACTATTTCTTAACCTTCTTGACCTGCAATGGTAGTTCCACCAATATTTGCTTTATAATAATTTATTAAATTGGACATCTCTGTTTTATGTATTTTTCTATGTATCATATTTCACAATAAAAAGGTTAAAAGTAAACAGAAAAAAAACTAAATAGATAGGTCATAGTGATATTTAAACTAAAAACCCCAGAAAATCCATTAAAATTAATTCAGGTGCAACAACACATTAGCCTAAATTAATTTTTCAAATGTGTTGTCAAATGATATGAATATTATGGCCAATGATTATAAACACTTTAACTGACATTCACGAGCACACTCCAGGGTATATTTACAGAATAGGAGAAAAAAATAAGTACTGTAGGATGGAAACTCAAAGTAATTACTATATCAATGACAGAAGAATAGTAACATTGCTAAAAATTCTTCAGCAATTATTTTTTGTTCAACCAAGGAAATCCTTTAAATCAGCAATTTCTCCAACAATTACCCCAAATGTTGAAAAAGGTCCTCTAGTTGTTTATGTAAACAAATGTAATGTTACAATTTTGTTTTAATCGACGAGTAAAACAAGTTTTTAAAAAAATCCCTATAAAACAGAAGGGCTTGAAGTCTTCCACAGGCATATATGACAGTCGATAGTTGTATTCAGTCATCCAGTAGATTTACTATTCCATAAAAACTAAGAGATGTCTTTGAGGTTTGATCATCACTTCATGCTACATATTTGTATTTTCTGTTGTATTTTTAAAAAATTTCAGGCCAGGCATGGTGGCTCACACCTATAATCTAGGAGGCCAAGGTGGGCAGATCACCTGTGGTCAGGAGTTTGAGACCAGCCTGGCCAACTTGGTGAAACCCCGACTCGACTAAAAAAAACACACAAAAATTGGCCAGGCATGGTGGCATACACCTGTAGTCCCAGCTACTTGGGAGACTGAAGCAGGAGAATCACTTGAACCCGGGAGGCAGAGGCTTCAGTGAGCAGAGATCATGCCACTGCACTCCACCCTGGGTGACAGTCTGTTTATAAAAAAATTTCAATAGACTATTTTTTTGAAAGCAGCTTCAGTGTTTACAGAAAAACTGAGCAAAAAGAATACAGAGTTCCCATATATGGCGTATTTTTTAACTGAAACTCTGGCAAATTACTGTCGACTGTTTTTCTAAATAAACTTTTTTTGGAACACTGTCACTCTCATTTGTTTACGTGCTGTCTTTGGCTGCTTTTACACTACAATGCAGAGATGAATCTCTGCAGCAAAGACTGTATGGCACGCAAAGCCTAAAATATTAGTATTCACTATCTGATCCTTTACAGAAAGTTTGCAATGGCCGGGCGCGGTGGCTCAAGCCTGTAATCCCAGCACTTTGGGAGGCCGAGGCGGGTGGATCACAAGGTCAAGAGATCGAGACCATCCTGGTCAACACGGTGAAACCCCGTCTCTACTAAAAAATACAAAAAATTAGCTGGGCATGGTAGTGCGTGCCTGTAATCCCAGCTACTCAGGAGGCTGAGGCAGGAGAATTGCCTGAACCCAGGAGGCGGAGGTTGCGGTGAGCCGAGATCGCGCCATTGCACTCCAGCCTGGGTAACAAGAGCGAAACTCCGTCTCAAAAAAAAAAAAAAAAAAAAAAGAAAAGAAAGTTTGCAGATCTCTGCATTAGATGATTTTTTTAGAAGCAAATACACAAATATTTCAACTCATTTATTTACAAGCAAAGTCAATAGCATATTCATTTCCTGAATCTTAGCCAGTAAAGTACTTTGGATGTTTATTAAAACTAAAAATCGTCTACTTCACACTAATACTGTGGAGCCATTCACAAATCTTAATTATTTTTTTTTAACCATTTCAAATCTTCCCAAAGGCTTGCTTCTTTTTTATTTTTTTTTTTGGCTTTTCTTCACCACCATCACCTCAAAAGGAAGTACCAACTGTTTTGTTAATAACATGTCTTTTTAGATGTTATCAAAGGAGAAACAGGTTATGGGACAGTTGGCTAAGAAAATGGAATTAACAATTGTGGCAGTCTATCTGAATCTCTAAATTTCAAGTTTTGCAATGAAAAAAGTAACGGGCTGGGTGTGGTGGCTCATGTCTATAGTCCCAGCACTTTGGGAGGCCGCAGAGGAAGGATCACTTGAGCCCAGGAGTTTGCGACCAGCCTAAGCAATATAGGGAGATCCTGTCCCTATGAAAAAACAAACACACAAACAAAAACCCAAAACTTAGCTAGGTGTGGTGGCACATGCCTGTAGTACCAGCTATTTGGGAGGATGAGATGGGAGCATCTCTTGAGCCCAGGAATTTGAAGCTGCAGTGAGCCATTATCATGCCACTGTACTTCAGCCTGGGCAAAAGAGAGAGACCCTGTCTCAAAAAAAAAAAAAAAAAGAAAAGAGAAAAAAAATGAAAAATTAAGTATGACCTCTTTTAGCAATTATCTGCAACATAGTGTTTATAAATAAAGGAGTACTTAAAGTATACAAAGGTACTTGGAAAGCACTTTAAGTAGTTTGTTCTTCCTAAAATTTTAACAAAATATCTCAACATAAATCAAAACACAGCTCAAAATTAATAGATGCCAAATTTTTATTATCTAGGAAAATAATATCCTACCCTATAAATATTACTGTATCAACCACATTTCCTGAGGAAGTTATTATTATTTTCGAGACAGGTTCTCACTGTCCTCCAGGCTGGACTGCAATGGGAAGATCATGGCACACTGCAGCCTTGACCTCCTGGGCTCAAACAGTCATCCCACCTGAGCTTCCCAAGTAGCAGGGACTATAGGCACACACCACCACACCTAGCTAATTTTTGTATTTTTTGTAGAGGTGGGGTTTCACCAGGTTACCCAGGCTGGTCTTGAACTCCTGGCCTCAAGCAATCCTCCCACTTCAGACTCCCAAATTGCTGGGATTACAGGTGTGAGCCACCATACTTGGCCCTGGAAAATTACTTATGTAAGCACAAGAATTATTCAAATTAATAAAAGAAAATAGCTACTCCAACTCCAAATACTCCACTACAAGGTAAAACCTCAAAAATTTAGCCCAATTATTCTGTCGTCCAGACTGGAGTGCAGTGGCAAAATTATGTCTCAGTGTAGCCTTTACCTACCCGGGTTCAGGTGACCCTCCCACCTCCACCTCCCAAGTAGCTGGGAACACAGGTGTGTGCCACCATGCTCAGCTAATTTTTTTGTAGAAATGGGGGTTTGACAC